CTGGCTGACATTTTGACTTTTGTTAATATCTTCAAAACAAAAGTAGCACAAAAGTTTGACACCAATTTTGCCAAATTTGAACAAGGTGTGGGGGCCAACTTCACTCAGGTCTTAGTTTGGACTCAGTAAACCCAGATATGAGAAATAAATCTGCTGTGTCTGTCACTCACTAAACAAACAAACAAACAAAAACATTATCAAGAATTATTTAAGTGCCAAACGTGGGTCAACTTTCTGTTTGAATAGTAAATATTAAATGTTTACAAGCAGACCTCAAAGGTAATAAATAATCACTTTTTCTTTTTTTAAAGAAATAATGAAGAATCAAAACCAAACTACTGGACCTACTGAGACGGATCAACCAGAACCACATCAGATTAGTGCCCCCTAGTGGCCGGCCGCAGAACTGTTTAAAGTCTTGTCCATTAAGTGAAGGTTCTGAACCTTGTAAAAATTAGACAGGTGATTCAGTTTGATTTAAACCTGATATATAAATAAATTAAAAACCTAAAGATGAATTAAGTGCTCTCAGAGAAATGTGAACGTTCCCATCACTCGTTTGTTTTTAAGCTGAATCAATGCAGTGACAGAGAAAATAAGTTTGACCTGCTCAGGTTTTTATCCAAACACATAGAAAAGTTTCAGAATCACACCTGAACTTCAGCTGCTAACATTTTACCAACTGAAACCATCAGGATGCAGCCGTCACTGCAGAAATATGTCTGCTGGTTGAAGCAGCAGGAAGATTTCAGGCACTGAGAATCAAAGAAAAAATGAGGAGAATTTCTTTGGGAAAACCAGGAGTAAAAAGGAATTTGTTCTTTTAGCCACTGAGTGCCGGAAACTAAAACACAAAACCTCACAAAAACAAAGGATTAAACCCAGTTAGATACCAGYTTCTTATTGCTCTGATCACGTTTGTTGTGAATTTGTTGGATCTTTTCTCTGCCTCTCTGTTCTGTGAAGCATTTAAAGATGGACTTTTAAAAGAAGGGACGGTACGGCGTGTAAAATAAGTATTGAACACGTCACCATTTTTCTCAGTAAATATATTACTAGAGGTGCTAATGACATGAAATTTTCACCAGATGTTGGTAAC